CCAATAGGAAAGTAAGATAGGCCGGACTAGGAGACAAGGAGGAAAGAGGAAGTAGCAAGGAGGGTCAGCATGGAGAGACCGGGGAGACCAGACGCCTGCCGGTAAGGAGACTGCGTGGAAATACACAGAAATGGGTTAATACTTAAGACGAGCTAGCTGATAAGAAACTAGTACCTGGCCAACAGAATTATATCACTCACAGAGTCTCTGTGTGTTAATTGGGACTATTTCACCACAGAGGAGTGTGCCACTAGCGCCTGGCTTCTTTTTGTTTTGAGACAAGATTTCATCTAGGCTAGACTGGACTTATGTAGTCAAGAACGATTTTCTACGGCCCCATTTGTTGAGATTATAGGCTTAGTGCTGGGGATGGAGCTCAGAGCTTCAAGTACACTGTGTACTCTACCAACTGTATTACATGCTGTTCCTGAAGCAAGATTTTTCTTGTACCCTTTATGGAGTTGTTGTAGGGTATTCACCAGAGAAGACTATAGTTTAACCCAATAGAAAGTCTTCCTTACCTGGCTGGTGATTACACTGGGTGTTCAGGATCCCAGTGTAGTCCTGAGCCTTTCTCAGGATGAGTGTTTGAGCACAAAACCCATATCCTGGTTTGACACACTTCAGTTAACAAGAACAGTTAGCTAGAAGTGGAGTTCCAGAAGCCAAAAGGCGAGGTTAATACTTTAGAGATTTCCCCAGAACTGTGGACTTTGATGGATTAGGTCTTTGTTTTTGTTTTTGCTGGTGATACTGTCTATGAGCTGAGTCTTATGGCCTGATTCCAAGCAACCTTGATTCCTCTTAGTGAAAAGATCATAACCTAGAAACAAGTGTTATTCAGTTACTGGACTAGTCACTGTTTTGAGGCTTTTTGAGATACATATTTTATAAAATAAAAAAGTAAGAGGTTTTGTTCTTAAGAAAGGCACTCTGGGCACTTGGCTTAGAATTAGAAATTTCTCAAAAGCACCAGCCTTGAAATAGCACACGCAGGCTAAGTACTAAGTGTACTTGTTGCTGGACTGACTTCTAGGTCTCTTCAAAGACAGAGGAAAAGAATAATGGGAAAAATCACCAAGATTTAGTACTAAAGAACTTTGTTTCTGCTCTGTGTCTTACACATGTATTTCTTCTCTCCCACCTTGATAAGAGAGTCAAATTTCTTTCTTCTCTCTCTTTCGTTTGCTTTTTGAGACAGGATTTCTCTGTGTAACAGTTCTGGCCTTGAACTCACTGAGATCCACTGCCTCTGCCTCCTGAGTGCTAGGATTAAAGGCATTTGCCACCACCACCCTTCAAGATTTGCATTTCAATCTGTAGACTAGATAAGAATAGTTAATCCACATTTTGGGCATCATCATGGGGGCCTTGGTTTTCCAGAATATACAGTTGTTTTGTGTTTGAGACAGGATCTCTCTCTGTATAGTCCTAGCTGTACTGGAACTCACAGGGATCTTCTTGCCTCTGCCTGAGATTAAAGGTGTGCCCACCAAGGTTTATGCAGGTCTTTTTTTTTTTTTTTTTCTTTGAACTTTCTTTTTTTTCCCATTTTAATTTATCCACTTATTTTATATTCTTACTGGTTTCCTCTCTCTCCTTGACTCCCATTCCCTCCCCTCACATTCCTTTTGTTCCCTACCAATCCATTCCTCCTACGTTTCTGTTCACAAAGGGGCTGGCTTCCCATGTGTATCAACCAAGTATGACATTATCAACTTATGATAGGACTAAGCTCCTTCCCTTACACTATGGCTGGGCAAGGCGACCCACTATAAGGAATAGTTTCCCAAATGCCAGCTAAAACATGGACAGCATCTACTCCCACTGCTAAAAATCCCACAAGTAGATCAAGCTATACAACTGTCACCAATATGTAGAGGGCCTGGGTTGGTCCTATAAAGTCTCCCTGGTTGTCAGTTCAGACTCTGTAAGCTCCTATGAGCCCATGTTATTTATTTCTGTGGCTTCCCTTGTGACACTCTTGACTTTCCTGGTTCCTCCAATCCTTCCTTTCTTCAGCAGGATTCCTTGAGTTCTACCCAGTGCTTGGCTATGGGTCTCTGCATGTGTCTGGATGAAGGTTCTCTTATGACAACTGGGGTAGTCACCAATGTAATGGATATAGCAGAATATCATTAGGCATCATTACATTGACATCCCCCTACCCCCAGTTGTGTTTGGTTCTATCCTAAGTCTCTGGATCATCCAGCTTCTGGGTCCAGGAGTGAGCTCATTCTCCTGGTATGGATCTAAGGCTAGACCAGTTATTGGTTGGCCACTCCCAAAATCTCCAGGCCACCCTTTTGCAAAGGTTGTGTGGTTGGGCTAATGTTCCAATCCCTGTACTGGAAGATCCACCCAGTCACAGGAGATGGCCAGTTCAGGTTACTTATCCACCACTGTTAAAGAGTCTTAGCTGGGAGCTAGGCGGTGGTAGCACACGCCTTTGATCCCAGCATTTGGGAGGCAGAGGCAGGTGGATCTCTGTGAGTTTGAGGCCAGCTTGTTCCAGGACAGCTTCCAAAGGCACAGAGAAACCCTGTCTCAAAAACAAAACAAAAAAGTCTTAGCTAGGGTCATCCTTGTAGAATCCTGGGAGTTTCCCTGGAACCAGGTTTCTAACTGACCCCAGTATGAAAGAAAAGATACTCATTACAAAAACAAACAAATAAATGAGGCACTGTTATGTGTCTACGTACCTTAAACATATGAACTCAAAAATTGGAAATCCAGTATGTTTCATACGAAGCTATTAGAAGTTTTCAAGCTTTAAGTAATATTGGGGGAGGGTCAGGTAAAAATAAATTAAACATGATGAAGTTTTACTTGAGTGTTTTCTGGCTTCAGTCTTTGTTTTATACATTAAAAGGCTAGAGGTTCCCAACATTAAGTTCCAGACAATTTATTTATTTATTTATTTATTTTTTGAGACAGGGTCTCTCTGGATAGCCTTGGCTTTCCTGAAACTTGCTGTGTAGAGCCTCAGAACTCACAGAGATCTGTCTGCCTCTGCCTCCTGAGTCTGGGATTAAAGGTGTGTGATATCCCTGCCCAGCCCCAGCTGTAGAATTTTGATACAAGATTAGACAAATATTAGAAACTTGCTGACATACATACATTGATTAACATTGATTTCACAAATCAGACCTAACAACGTAGATCCCATCAATCCCGTATGGAGATTAATTCTGAAGGAAGTTTATGGGTTCACTTCCATGTTCTAAACATAACAGATGGAAAACAAACAAACACCACTGCTCGTTTAGTTACAAATACCAAGTGGCAGGAAGAAAAACTAGGTGCAAAAAGTTCCTAGTGTGTATGCATACAGGTTCTCAAAGTAACTGGGTGACTCACTAGGAATGGGTCTCCAAACTTTTCAGACTAATTGTTACCTAAATGTGAAATATTTTCAGAATGTTGATTGGCTCAGTTTCATATACCAAGAACACGTATATCCTGTTAATTATTTCAGTGGCCGGATGAAGTGACACACTTCTTTAATCCCAGCACTAGGGAGGCAAAGGAAGGAGGATTTCTGTGAGTTCAAGGCCAGAATGGTCTACAAGCTCTCTATGCAATCCAGGCTGTCTTGAAACTTGACCCTGACCAACAAAAAAAAAAAAAAAAAAAAAAAGCAGAGGAAGGAACAGCCAAGGCTACACCGAGAAACGTTGTCTCAATAAACCAATAAACAAATCCAAAATCTATAAAACAACAAATTCCATAGAAATATCTAAAGAGAGACCTTTTAATGTCCAATTTCCCAGTATCCATGGTCTCTGTTTTTTCTAATCCCTTTCCAGAGGTCACAGCAGACTTCACGATGTTGCTCGCTTGGATTTGCACACTTCCACAATACATTTTATTTGTTCTCAAGTCTCTGAGACCAGGAAAAGTGGCACTTAAATTCTGCCTACCTAACAGGAGCCTGTTCCGTGAAATAGATACAAAGGCAGGATTTGGTTGGATGTCACGGGTCAAACTGCTGATAATTGCAGGCTAAGATACCGAAGGATTCTGCCTGATCTCTTGTAAGTGACAGGCCAGGCAAGTTAGTGAGTCAGGGGCATGGGTTTCAGATGTAGTTAGTCACTATGTGCTGGCCAATGTGCAAATCACATTACTTTGATAATATTACAAAACAAAAGCGGTAAGACTGCCGGGCAGTTCACAACCTAGTGGGTTGTACCTGAGTTCGTTTTCCTAAGAAGTCATGTAAGGTACTTGAGAGGCTGAATCTTTTTGGGGGTCCTTACAGTAACCCAAACCACTTTAACTGCCTAAATCTGTAGAGACAAACAGCTCAAAACGCCTTCAGGAGCTCCTGATTCTGGACTGCAGATAGCGCGAGCACAAAGCTTTCATTTCCTTTACACTTTCACACAACTTGGCGGTCTGTCCCTCGCAAGAGGCGCGAACTCCCTCCCCATCCGACCTAGGCTCACAAATCAGAAGATGACTCCGCATTTAAAACTGTCCCAAGCCCCTGCGCGCGGGCCACCCCCCCCCCCAAGCCGGATCACGTGACTCGCCCCTCCCTCCGCAGCCATCCTCAGAGAGAGCCGGTCCTCCCCCGACTCCCCAAGGCTACTCCATCCCTCCTGTCCACCGGCGAAGTCCGCCGCCCACCCGAGGCCGTGCTGGGTACCCTTGAACTCTTGACGAGGGGCGGCGGCCACTAGGTCACCAAGCCCTCCTCCGGTTCCACCTCCCGGCCAACTCCTCCCCGCACGCCAGCCGGGACCGCTTCCGCCAGTGTGCCAACCACGTGATCGCGCGAGACGGTAAAAAAGGCGGCGGCGGAGGCGGCGGCGCGCCTTCTTTTACTCTAGTCCCTCCGCCCCGCCCCCCCACACACCTCGGCCCCGCCCACCCGGGCCCCATCGGCGGGCGAGCGACGCCCCGGCGCGCGTGCGCACGCGGCTCTCGCGGTGTCTCGCGCTCGGCCCCGCCCCCCGCTGCCCCCGCCCTTTCCGCCCCTCCCTCCCTCCGCCCTGAGTCTCGGCGGCAGCGGCGGCGGCGGCTCGCGCAGCTTGTTGGCTCGCTATATAAAGGGGAGAAGCAGGCGGACCGGACGGCTGGAGCTGCAGCCGGTGGCGGCAGCGTCGGTGCTGGGAGCGGTGACCGGTGTTGGTTTCCCTCCGCGGCGCCGAGTGGGGAGCGGGCGACGCCCCCTAACCCCCCGAGGGGTCGTGGCTTATTTTTTTTTTTCTTTCCTTTTTCCTTAAGGCGATTCTCGAGGCTTCTAGCTGCGGGAGGAGTGCCCCCCTCCTCCTGGTCTCCCGCCTCTTACTACCTTGAGGATCGGTTTTGTTGAACAAAATTTTGCCCCACTCTTGCGGGTGACCTGGGTCACCCTCCGGGTCTTAAGTTCCTTTTTTTTTTTTTTTTTGTAATTGATTTTTTTTTTTTCCTTTTTCCTCTCTTAAATCTCGTTCCCTCTTGTTAGTGTTGTGTGTGGAAATGGCGAACTCGGCAAACACAAACACCGTGGTAAGGACGTGGTGCGGTGGCCGGCGGGGGCTGCGAAGGTTCCGGCGGCAGGCAACGGCCGGGGCGGGCGGGGGCGGGCCCGGGCGAGGCGGCGCTCCCGACCCGGTTCCCCCTCCGCCCTCCACCGCCGCTGCCCGCCGCGGGCCTGGCCGGGCGGGGGGGCGCCAAGGGCTGGCGGGCGGAGGGCGGCGGGGCCGGGAGCGCCGCGGGGCGGGCCACGCAGGCCGTTGGGCGCTGGCTGTCGACCCCGGGGCCACGATAGGCGGGCGGCGACCCCCACGCGGGGCCCGGACTCGGCCAGCCCCCGAGCGGCCGTGGGTCGAGCCCCGCGCCTGGTGAGCCAGCCTCTCGGACGCTGCCAAGTTCGGCGTGCCTTCGGGGGCCTCTCTGGAGGTGGTGCTTTGGAAAGCCTGCATTGGGGGCCGATTTTGCTAATCCTCCAAAAAAAGGGGGAAAAAAAGACAAAATCTGAAGGTTGGAAAAGCACTTATCTCGGTTCCTCCCCGGTGGGTAAAATGGCGAAGGGGAAGCAAAACCCCCGTGGTATCTTCGACTAGCAAAAGCACCAGAACAAACAAAGCCTTACAGTGAGTGGCCCAAGTGTCCCCGCATTCGCCTTGAAATTTGCCTACTTCTTCCCGCTGCTCCCTTTTTTTTTGGTTACTTGCGATCACGTAGGTTTGCAAAAAGCAGTCACATAAAAATAACCTTTTCAGTTGTCACCAAAGCAGTGTGATCACTAGGCCACCCCCAAGTTGATTTTTTTTTATTATGAAAATAAAAGACGTGGTTTTCTTTTTTGTTTTATTTATTTATTTATTTTTTTGTTTCGTTTTGTTTTTGCCCGGTCCCAAACGCCGCAGAGCAGCCCGCAGATGCCCGTCACCGTACCGTTGGCGACTCGGGTAGATCCATCATGGCTGCGGCCGCTTACTCTGCTTTTCAGTGCCTGCGCCTTGTGGTCCTCCTCCCTTTGGCTGCCCTGTTTATATAGAGCCATTGCCGCTCTCTAATATAGACTCTGCCAGGATGGGAAGGTGCTTTTCAGGCCTACGTCACCGCCTCTCCATTTAAACACCAGATCCGGCTTTAAATAGTGAGAGCTGCTGAGCGCGGGGCTGGGAGGTGCGTGCTCCCGAGGCGAGAGGCGCTCGCGTGCGGAGCTCAATTTATTTCTAGGTTCCCTTCACGCCGAAATTTTGCTTCCCAGCCGGGAGGCTGCTTTCACGAATTATGTTTTAACTGTAGCTGCTAGGATATGCCGCCTTTGTTTGTCGTGGGAAGTAGATAAGAATTGCTGTAGCGTTTTTTTTTTTTTTTTTTTTTTTTTTTTTTTAAAAAACTCCCCCTTTTATATATATATATATATATATATATATATATATATATATATATAGAGTTTAATAATCATTTTAGATGACATAGGATGATTTTTTCCCCCCTTGAAGAGGTGCCTTCAACATTCTCGGCTTAAACAAAAAATGCGTTGTACATTAAATGTCCCGTGTCCCTGTCCCCCCCCCCCCCCCCCCCCCCCCCCCCCCGTTCCCCCCCCCGTCCCCCCCCCCCCCCCCCCCCGCCGCAGAGGGCTTGAGTTTGGCAGTGTTTTGTTCATCAGGTATCCAGGAAATGTTAGAAGCTTCTAACATTTCATCCGTGTTTTCTTAATACAAATACCCAAGGCATGAACTTGCTTTTCAAGGAAATAGTGATGGAAGCTTCCTTGTGACTTGTGAGATTTTATGCCCACAATACCTTGATATGAAGAGGCATAGCCTAACCTGGATTTTAAGAATTAAAGATCAAGTGGTGGTTTTAATTGTATCAGCAGTTAATATGGGGTCCAGTATAAAACTCCACCCTGTTTACTTAATATTGTGCCAGAAAATTAGCATTTTTCTAAAAGGAACTCTGCAGTGAATTACTGATGATGCCACATGTGGCCTCTAAATTTGCAGTTTTCAAAGTTTGGGATATTGTGTTTTGAAAGGACAGATCCAAATGACTTTGTATACAGTAAAGACAAGAACTGGCTCAATTTTAGAATTTAAGCATTTCACTTTTTTCTTTCAACCATAGTGAAACCAGGTTTGTACCTAAGTGTCTGAATCTCTAAGGAGAGGATTTTGGGGGATCTGATTTCTGAAACAGGAAAACATCTGGTCTCCTGGAAAACTGTCTTACCAATTACAGGGCCAGTGAACAGTTTAGTGCTGTGGCTTGAAGGGGGTGGGGGTCATTTTGTATCATTAAATGCTGACGAGACTGCTGGGTATGACCAGGAGCTGCCTAGTGAACAAAAAGTTCCCCAATATCTGAGAGTTGGAAAGGTTATGAGATCACATAGGTGTTAAACCAAGCATGGGAGTAGGAACCAGACATGATCATGTACTATTGTTATTAATCATAATGTTCCTGATTTTGCTCACAATCAAGGAAGTAACTGGAATCTGTATGGACTCTTGTGCATAAAGAACTTTGGTTTATGAACTATATTGCATAGCTTTAAAACACGTAGTTATCAAATCTAGTTTAATGAGGTCAAAATATATTTTCTGTTTTTTTTTTGTTTGTTTTGTTATTTAGACAGGGTCTCTCTATGTAGACTAGCTGGCCTGGAACTCTGAAATCCTCCTTTCTCTACCTCCCAACTGGTAGGCTTAGGATTGCTATTATCTTTAAGGGCACAAAAAGTCAATTTCAGATCGTCGACCAAATGGCTTGTATTGAAGGGTCAGATGTTTAATTAAGGATTTCTTAAAGCCTGCTAAACTTTCAAAATCAGTCTTTTATTAAATCTTATTTTTCTGTTGTAGCCTAAATTGTATAGATCTGTGATTGAAGATGTTATTAATGATGTACGAGACATCTTTCTGGATGATGGAGTGGATGAACAAGTCCTGATGGAACTAAAAACTGTGAGTTTGTCTTTTTTTTTTTTTTTTTAAAAGAATATCTCCCTCAAGAAAAACCCGTTTCCGTAGTCCCCAGTAAGTCATTTTTCTGTAGGAAGGCTGTTTGACTTTAAGGAGAGATGCTGTAATCTAGTGAACAGCACTGATTTTAAACCCCAGCCTCGACATCCTTTCTTCCTCTGACTGTGGGCAGAGAACTTGCATTTTAGCTTCTTTCCCTCTAGGATAGGAATTGGTAGTATAGACTTCTTAGATAGTTGTTCTCAGGATTAAATGTAATGAATGCAGAGAATACCTGTCAGAATGCCTAGTAATAGCTTTACTTGTTCACATGCAGTGTTTTATTGTCCAGATACTTGACATGTCAGTAAGTTTTTAAATTTTTTTTGTAGTCTTACTATATTTATATTCTACAATTTGTTTATGTTAGAGGGATTGAATGAATGTTTGATAGAATTTAGATACCAGAGTCAAGTCCTTTGTATACTAAATGCTTTGTTTATTATGTGTTAAATACTGAGAGATACTTTTTCCCTTAACTTGATGCAGAAATACTTAGATTTTTAAAATGACATTTGTGTGAGGACCGAAGAGATGGTCCTGTCTCTGGCTGCTCTTCCCAGAGGAACTGGGTTCAGTTCATATGGTGGCTCACAATAGTGTACAACTACAGTTCCTACAGTTCCAGGAGATGCCCTCTTCTGGCCTTCACAGGCATCAGGGCACAAGTAGTACACAGACATTCATGCAGGCAAAACACTTGAAAAGACAGCATTTGTGTTCCTGGTCATAGAATGACTTGAGACTGTGGAGAGTATTTTTGTACTAGTTGGACTAAGTACCCAACTTTGAAAATTTCATAGTTGTTTGTTCTTTAATTTAAAAGTTGTATCCAAAAAAAAAAAATTGTGTCCAATGTAGTTGGGGAAATGACTTATTGAGTAAGAATTTTTGCTCTTAATTGAAATTAAGAGGACCTGGGTTCAGATCTCCAGCACCACATAAAAGCCAGGCATGGCCACATGTGCCTGTCACCCCAGTGTTTGGGAGATGGAGACATCTGCATCCCAAGAGCTCACTGGCTGGCCTGAAACTTGGAGCTCCAGGTTTTAGTGAGAGACCTGTTCCTAGGCAAAAGTGGAAAGAGATGAGAGGAAAACTTTACATTCTTTGTAGGCCTCACATGCACACATAAAAAGTTGTCCAGTGAGAAACCAGTGACTCAGCTCACACTTGTGTGCATAGAACCTCCTGTGTTTCCTTTAGAGCAGCAGGCTTGCTTCAGGGGATATTGACTATGCCCATGACTATTTTAAAGAGGTGGTATACTCATTGTATAGGGAAACGTGTTAGAAGAATTTGAGAGATCTGCATAGTTCATTTTCAGTGCATGTTGGAAGATTCATTTAAAGTACAAGATACATTAATAGATTTTACTGTAAATATGAAAAGTTCATTGGTATATAGGTTGAGATAGATTGCTGGACTATTAAGAAACATTTTAAAATATCTTTTGCTTTTTCAACTGTGTAACCCTTGAACCAAAACAGTAGCAAAATGCAGAAGCAGATGGGGGATCCCGTTTCTTTTCAAGTCTTTTTTTTTTTTTCTTTTTTTTGTTAATACCAGAAAAATCAGTGTCATTTATGTAAATATAGACCTTTTATTTCATTTTAAAAAATCTTCATAACACTAAAAATATTAAGTCCTCAGAAATTTTTGAAAAGAGATTAATGGAGCAGAAACTGATTCCATAAAGTTGTTCTCCATGTGCCATGGTCTGTGCACCCTCCCTCCCCAAATCATCCATTCGCAAACTAATGAATTAAAAACAGGTGATGAGCCTGAGGTCAGAAGATACTAGAACTGCTGGGGTAGAAGTTGGGAGCAGTTTCTTTAGAGCTGTATTGAAATCATCACAGCTAATAAATGGCTAGGGACATCAGCTGTGGTCTTCTCCATTCTGATGTGGAAGCTAGAATTTAACACTCATTTGAAGTAAAACAAATCTGAACTTTATTGTGGAGATGAAATATGTCTTAATATATTTAAGCACCTATGGAAACTTATAGAATATTCAATAAGAATTTGCCAATGTGAGAAGGAAAAGTAAGTTTCAGTGAGGTGAGTAATATTAGCGGGAGAGAAATGTAAATTTATTAATGCTTAAGGATACAAGTGTTAGAATACCTCCTCAGAAGCAGGAGTTGTAACAGCATGAAGTACCTAAGTTACACAAAGAGTAACTTAGCATGATCCTCAGTTTACCGGGGAGTGTTTTACACTTTGCTGCAATGACTGGTTGTTGTTAACACTTCTGTGACTTTATGTAGAAGATACAATTTCCACAGGTGTGGAAATGAGCCCTAAAGAGTAACTGATTTATAGTAGGGGTCAGTCCAAGATCTTGATTTGCTCTGGTTTTGTAAGTTACAGTCTGGAGAATTCAGTGTTACGACTGGTTCCCATAACTTTAAGACATTCTGTTCAGAGAAACTGAGTTGTCTTGGAAAAATTAAGTAACTTTGTTTGCATGTTTCTTACATTTGATTGAAAGTGACTCACTCAATTTTTAATCTTCAGTTTTTACCATAATACCTGGCATGTGTGGCTGGCACTCAGTTAAAAATTTAGCTGAACTGGTTAATAGCAGATGTGGCTCCAGACTCTTAACAATGCTATTTTTGTTACTGTTAAGTGGGGCATACTCTCATGTCTTGAGTTGTAATAAGAGTTAAAGCGGTTGGACAGAATGAACTTAATTTTCTGCACTAAATTTCTTCAGGCCCTCATTAGAATTTCCAGAAGGTGCCCTAAATTTAACAGTCGAACACTGGCCCTGTCCAGGGACAGCTCTATAGTGATGGAAAGGTCTGTCTGTGTCTGTTGTCCGCTGAATGGTAGTTATTAGCCACATGTGGCTGTTAGGTATTTGGAATGAGATTAGAGGAATTGAGGAATACATTTTTCATTAATTTTATTTAATTTAAATTTAAATAACTATATGTGGCTAGTGATTACCACATTGAGCTACACAGATTTTCTTGCTAACAAGGGTAACATCCATTGTGTATTTTATCATTTATAATGGACTTTGGTTGAGTGCTAGCCCTTCTCCTTTTTAACTGTTTAACAGCTTATCAAACGGTTGCTAAGGCAACGAGATAAGTGGTAAATTAGATTATGAACTGAGATGCATGGTGAGAATGCCTGTAACTTAAAAGTTAACTAAATACTGCAGGTAATGTCATGATTTAAAAAAAAAATATTAAAGTGTTGAGAGCTTACTTTGATGAGTGAACAATGGGAGCTAAGGAAGACATGAGATATAATTGATAAACTTGTATTTAAGTGGATTGTGGATCAGCAAGTAATTGGGTGGGAATAACACAAGGAATTTACTTCGAAGTGAATAATGAGCAACTCAGGAGGAGAAGGTAAGAGAATCTGCACAAATTTGAGGCTAGCCTAGTCTGCATAGTGCCAGACCAGTCAGGGCTACATAGTGAGATCGCCTCAAAAAACAAAAGAAACCAAGCCAAAAACTAACAAACCAAAGAACCTGTAAAAACAAAAACCTGCTCTTTCTCTGTCCTCCCTTCCCCCAATAAAACTTCCCACAAACAAAAAACCTAAAGTAAATGATTAAAAACAATTTGTCAGACCTGTTTATATCGAAATAGCAAGTACAGCTTACAAGACGGTTTTTTCCCTTGTCATTGCTGGACATTAAATATAGAGCCTTGTACATCCCCCGCCAATGCTTTACCACCAAGCCACATCCCTATGCATCTGCTGATAAAAATTGATTCCTCAGTTAGAGATGAGTCTGAAAATTCAGGTTACACGTGTCTCTAGTTGAGTGCCTCAGCTTTGGTGCTTTTGACTTGTTGGCATGATTGGTTAGGTGTTAGCAGAGAGGTGACTTGTGCTCACTATATGCCAGTAGCACCTTGTAGTTGTGTTCAGAAATGTGTTTATTGCTAGTCTCCCTAAGGAAGTAGTAGCAAAGCCACCCCAAATTGAGAAGCACTTCTCTAAACATACTCTTAATTATATATAGCTAAGGTGACACATACTATAAATGTCTAGACTATAAATTCACTGATTACCTATTCTCTACCCTTTGACAAGAGCATTTATCGCTAGTAAAAGTAGAATGTGAACCATGTTCTGCTCTGAGATAAAAGACCTACTTTCACATTCCTACCATCTTTAGGTAAGTGCCCTTGTCAAGGGTTGGTTAGAATTTACTTTTGAGTCAAATTATGAACTGCCCATTCTCCAGTAGTATGTGGGCTAGAAATTTTAAACAACTCTTCTGTTTCCACAAAATACCTGGCTCCCGGATAAAATGTACAATTCATTTCATAGCTTCCAAACACTGTTAGGGAACTCAGCTTCCCCCAGGAGCAAATGAAATAGAAAGTAGATGAAGTCACAGTGTGGTTAGATGAGAAGCGAGGATTAGAACCGGCATTAGGGTGAGGCAGCATTTGGATGAGGCAAGTGAAGTACCCAGGGCACATTGTTCAGAGACATTGAAACGAGACTTGTGGGTTATAATTAACCTATTTTTGCCTTCTATTATTTGTTGATCTTGGATAACTTGCCTAACTTCTCTTTGGGTTGTTTTTCTCTAAAGAAGCAGGTGATAATAATGTCTACATATGTACTTACTATATAGAACTAACTAAATTTCAGTTATTAAACTCTAGTAACACATAGTTATATACCTCATTCTTTTGTGAACAGAAAATTTTTTTCATGTCAGTTTTAGATACCTAGGCAAAAATTGCTGAAGTGTGGGTATCCCGGAATTAGTAGTTATTTGTGGGAAAGGGAGCAAATGAAAATAAAGTAAAAGGGCTCTTGCAAATTTCTAAGCACAAGAAATATTTAACAATTTAGTATTGCTAATTCATCATTACTAATTCAGTTACTATTGCCTGAGCAATGTAACATTGTTTTAACAGCTGATATTTAGAACCTGGAACTTTATGATACAGTTGAAATTGTACTGAAGTGAAATTGAAGGGCTGGAAAGATGGCTCAGCAGTTAAGAGCACTTGCTGTGTACAGAGGACCTGGCTACAATTCTCAGTGCCCACTTGGAGGCTCCCAACTGTCCATAACTCCCATTTCCCAGTCAGTGCCTTCTGACTTCTGTGGCTATCAGACACATACATACATACATACATACATACATACATACATACATACATACATGCAAAACAGTTGTACACATAAATCTTTTTTAAATGAAGATAAAGTGTAAATATTGAATACATCAAATTTTACTTGATGGTATAAGCTTGGTGCTTAGTTGTATGTATTGTTTTTTATATTTGTTAAGTTACTAGAGCACTTTACCATGATTGCTAAGTCCTGATTCCTTGATTGGCTAGCCCAACCCCTGCAGAGCTCTTGGCAATATGTGGGACCATGTTCATTTAGTAGGCAAGAACTAGGAATGTTGGGTTTCCTATGGGACCATCCCAGATGATACAGGCGTACTCTGCCTAAAATGCCAGTAGAGTGCAATACAGAAAATAGAAAAAACAGTAGTTTACTTTTCCAGTTTTGTTTGATTTTAATGCTAAATGGTTGTTAAATTCTTAGGTATCTGTTAGGTCCTGAATAAAATAGTCTCTTCATGAAGGAGTTCATTCAAAAGTAGAATTATTTCTAATATGCATAGGGAGTGACTGCCATACCCTACCCCCTTTTAGAGCCCTGGCTGGCCTTGAACTCACAGATCCACCTGCCTCTATCTCACAAGTGCTGTGGATTAAAGGCACACACCACCAAGCCCAGCCTAAGTGACTGCTTTTCTTTGAGGCTATGGGACTTTGATTTTAGAAGACTGTAGATTAAAAGCAATGGAATAGTCTAAGGTTATATCACTGAAAGTAGTTAATACTAAAAGAAATTGAGGAAATTAGAGTAACAGCAGCTAGTCTGTGGCAAATCGGCATACTAAACTTCTGTTCCACTAAATGGGATGGATAGTACCTTAGAACCAAGCCACAGTTTTTTAAAAAATAAGTGTACTTGTTTTCCCTATCTATGGTTAGGTATGTGGGTATTTTGCTTGCATGCATGTCTGTATCATATGTGTGCTTGGAGCCTGTGGAGGTCAGAAGAGAGCTGGGGTTACAGACTATTGTGAACTGCCATGTGGGTTCTGGGAATTTAAACCTGGGTCCTCTGGAAGAGCAGAAGTTTATTTAACTACTGATCCTATTCTCCAACCCCTGATTTTATTTTTTGAGGTTTTTGTTACTCTTGGTCAGCTTTGTTAGAAAAATGTGTTTGTAAACTTCAGAAAATTAATCCTGTTGACAGTGCAGAAGACAATGTTCCTTAAGCTTCTGCGCATACTATATAACAAAGATACAGTAACTTTCTTATGTTTCATTTTCCTTTCCATTTGGTTTTCATAAAAAAATTGAACTTTGACTTTATGACCCACTAATGGGTTTCAATCCTCATTGAAAAGCATTGGTTTAGACTTTAATACTCTTACTTTTGCAAGCATCACAAAATAACCTGGACAGTTCATTGTGACGGCTTGTGGCTCACTTCTAAACCTGCCAAAAGAATAGGTCTGGGATCACACCTCAGAATTAGCTTTCCTTCTTGCAGCTGCTACCTCCCCTCTCCTCCTTTCTTTATGTGGTTCAGGATTTGTGGTTCTCATTTCATGCTAATGGGGCTAACACTCTTAACCACTGAAGGACACCCTAAACCTCAATTATGAAGTTTGATTGCTACGTCCTTGATAAGAGAAAGTAAGGGAGTTGAACATGCATTCAGCTGCACATTAACATGTAGTCAACCTTTCTGTTTCCCATAAAGGCTTCATTGGAATGATGAGCTCTCATTCCAGTGGGTAGACCAACGATAGTAATGAAAATGAAACATGAATTTAGGAAAGTGTGTGTGGTGGGGCTAGAGCAGTGGCTCAGTCAGTAAGAGTGATAACCGCTCTTCCTGAGCATCAAAGTTCTGTTCCTAGAACCCACTTCAGGTGGCTCCAAACTGCCAGTAACTCCAGTTCCAGAGGATTCAACACCCACTTTTGGTTAGGGAGGGCAGCCACAAGCATGTGACATATATTCCCGAATGTACACAAGTAATAAGATGAATCTTTTTTTTTTTTGAAAGTATGCTATTGGGATTTTTGGGGCCAGTGTTAGAAGATGTACTCTAAGAACTAGGTTGGATCCTCATCATTATCTCAGTTAGAAAATTTTGGTGTAAAAATAATAATAATTAAAAAAACCCTGTTTTTTTCCCCCACCTTGAAGCAGGATCTCACTATGTAGCTCTAGCGGTCCTGGAACCAGGCCAACCAGGTTGGCTTCGAACTAATAAAAATCCTGTGATTAAAGGCCATTACAGCTGGCTTAAAAACCAGTTTCAACACTAATAATTCTTTTACTTCACACTTAATTTTTTTTTTTTTAGAAAAAATTGTGTGTATGTGTGCTTGTATGCACATGTATGTATATGAATATAAACCACCTTGTGCATGTAGAGGTCAGAGGGTAACTTGTTGGTCTCTTTCCACCGTGTGGGTACTAGGGAATCAAACCCATTGTCAGCTTGGTGGCAGGTGCCTTAACATTAACACCTGTCTTTTGACTTACCTTGATTTTTGACTCATAAGAAACTAGGTTTTGTTTTCAGTTTGAAAGAGGGAAGAGGAAGACAGGAGGTTCAAGCGACTAGCATATCTGAGAAATTTACTATATATAATACACTAATTATCACAATATGTCTTAATTGTCTTCAAGTACCCGTTTTGACCGGATTTTGCCCATTTTGCAGAGATCAGCTAGACACAATTTGGAGTCTAGGAAGTAATACTTTGTTGCTACAAGAAGAAACCAGTTGTTTTTAGTGTGGGGTTTATAGAAGCCTCTATTATTGTCTAGAAGTTTAGGAGTAATGTAAGTTAATTTTCCTTTAATTTTAGATGAGGAAAATGTCCAAGAATATTACATGATTGAGTCAGATTAGTAGACAAACCAGGATTAACTGGTTCCCAGCCTCTGATGTAATAATGCCCTTACGTAATTAAAGCCATTACTGAAGTAATAACAGCTATCGTTCAATGGTCACTGGCTTTAAACTCTGATAACTATGAGTAGAGTGTAGTATCTTCTTAAGTGTAGATTTCGGGCACTTAAGTATTGGGCTTGTTGGGGAAATAGTTTTACTGTGAACCTGACTTACTTCATTCTTTCAGTACACATACTGTTGGAAAGATGCTGGGGTTGTTACAGCATGTAGTCATCTGAGAGGATCTTGGAGAAGCCTCTAAATCAGCAGTATTCCAAGAGCAGGTCCTGAAGTTAAAAGCAGTGTGTATAGATGATCAAGTGTGAAAAATGACCAAATTGTTGCATCTGCGTTGGATAATTTCTTATGGGAGTGAGGCTGTACATGAAACATTAAACATAAGAGAGCAGATATGTTAGGAAATAGTTGGGAATGTTTTCATTTCTTTCTCCTCCCATTATAGAATTTACCCTATGGTGAAATGAGAAAATGCAGATTGGGAATCTCTAATATGAGAGGTGTCACCAACTAGGAATATTTCCTTTTTGCATTTTTTTTTTCAGATTTTGGAATACTTGCAAATAATATGCAGTGAAGTTTACCTATGTTTTATATATACCTTGTATACATTTCTAGAAACTAATTTCACACAGTATTTTAAATAATTTTGTTCATAGAATAAAATTTCAGGTAGAATTTTCTACTGGTAATGTCATGTTAAGAATACAGATTTTGAGAAAATTGCAGATTTTGAATTTTTAGGTTAGATATATTCTGTCTGTAGAAATGACTAAGCAGAAAATGATTGTCAATCTTTGGCATACTGGAAGAAAGGAAATTTTAAGAGGTGTAGAGGATTGGAATGACTGCTGAGGCCTCACTTTCTTATAAGATGAGACATGGAAAGGAGGTTGGTCTGTCTTAATTTAGAATGTCTCTATTTCTCATTCTATGGAAGGAAAGATGAATATTTGTTCTGTTGACTGCTAAGAGAGAAAAAATTTTTGCTTCTTTTTTTGGTTTTGTTTTTGATTTTTTTTTTTTTTTTTTTTTTTTTTCAAGATAGGGTTTCTCTGTATAGTCTTGGAGTCTGTCCTGGAACTCGCTCTGTACCTACCCAGTCAGGCCTCGAATTCACAGAGATCTTTGCCTGCCTCTGCCTCCTGAGTGCTGGGGTTAAAGACATATGCCACCATTGCCTGGCGAAATAGAAAATGTGTATTAAGCAAAGTTCTATAAAAGTAATTTAATAATGGTTTTGAAATGAAAAGATGAAATTTGATAGATTTATTTTCCTTATATAAAACTTGGGTAAGAATTAAAGGCTAGTTTTTTATGATTGTATCATTTCTTAAAATGGGAAAAATTTATAAACACCTAGTAAATGTTTTGTCCATATGTGCAGAGTTTTCCTTACCTCACTGAAAAGTCTTTTTACTGTTCTTTGTCTTAGTTGTGGGAGAATAAGTTAATGCAGTCTAGGGCGGTAGATGGATTTCATTCAGAAGAGCAGCAGCTTTTGTTGCAAGTTCAGCAGCAGCATCAACCCCAGCAGCAGCAACATCACCACCACCACCACCATCAGCAAGCGCAACCTCAGCAGACGGTACCTCAGCAAGCACAGACCCAACAGGTCCTTATTCCTGCGTCACAGCAAGGTGAGAAGGTCTAGATGGGTCCCAGTTACAGCTTGCAAGTTACACTTGTCTTTGGGAAGTATTCTTTTGGCTCCTGAGTTTCTTGGATTATCCTTTTAAAGAGATGCTTGGTTGGGGAGAAATCTATACCTATTTCTCTTTTTCTTCCCCTTTATTGGCTGAGTTTGTGCTTGTGGGTATTTAAGGAAAAAATGGGGATCCTGATTGATATAGGCTTATTTACAAAGGGTTTCATTATTTTAGATAAGGTAGTTTTCTTTATGAAACATGTTCTTTCAATGACATGTTTATTTTATCCATGTATACTAGAGAAATTTTGTAACTTGTAAGTCTGAAAATTTAGTCTAATTTAAGTAGAAAATGATATACAATTTAGCTTAATTTAATAGTTCTTTGCAATGTTCAAATCATTATATAAGTCTTGATCTGTTAGTCTTTTATTGGGGTGTTATAGAATAGCCATTAGCTCCATTTCACAGTTGAAGAAAACCTGGGCCCTGGTGGCGGCATCGGTGCATGCCTTTAATCCCAGCACTTGAGAGGCAGAGGCAGACAGAATCCTGAGTTTGAGGTCAGCGTGGTATACATAGTGTACAGAATAAGTTCCAGGACAGCCAGGGCTACATGGAGAAACCATCTTGAAAAACGCAGGGTGGGGGAAGAATCTTGACCCATCATACTTAGCTTTTTTTTTTTTTTTTTTTTTTTAAAAAAATGCCAATCTATTCAGTTACAAAATTTCCTCAATATTGTAGTTAGATGAATCTTGACTGGAAAGGAAACAGGATACATGAAAGCTTAGTTTAAGGTGGTCACTGTTTAGTGACTCAATTGTTTCATGTTAGTATATATGAAATACAAAATAAATACAGAGTAGAAAAACCTATATGATTTGGTTTAATGTTTATAGCTAATAGATTTTGATTCACTCTTTATTTTAAAAATTTACTTAGGTTAGTGTTTGTGGAGGAGTGGTAGACCCACCATGGCACACATGTGAACACTGTGGCATACATGTGGAGGTCAGAGGACAACTTGCAGGAGTCTGTTCTCCCCTTCTGCCATGCGGGTTTTAAGTATAGACCTCTTGTCTTTAGGCTTGGAGGCAAGTGCCTTTGCCTGCTGAACCATCTCACCAGCTCTTAATACCTATGTTAAGTCTGTACCACGTAATCACATCCTTGATGACTGTTCCTCCTATTGCCTTTAGGCATGGCACTAGGATTTTAGGTCATCATAAATTAAAATTGATTTTTTTCACTCAGAGAATATCAAGGTAATGGGATTATCTGTGTATTCTCTGAAATTTGCGGGATCAAACAATTCTATCTTTTGACTTGACATTGCCATTGTTTCTGAGTTGTGTGTGTAATGTGTGTGTGTGCACATGCAGATGTAGGTGCCCACGTACCATGGTGCATGCATGGAAGTCAGAAGACAACTTTGGGTGTTGATCCTTCTTTCCACTTGTTTGAGGCAGGGTCTTGGTTGCTTTTCCTGTGCATACATACATACACCAAGCTAGCTGTCCTCATCACCCTCATAGCTCCCCATCTGCTGTCCAGAGGGGTGGTGCCACCCAGAGTGGTGGTGCTGTGTAGCTGGCTGTTTTTTAGCTGTGTTCTAGAGATTCAGGTCTTCATGCTTATACAGCAAGCACTTAACATCCCTTGATTTGTATTTTTAAAATAGCTAATTAAAATCCCATGATTATAGTAGCTGTCAGGTTGGTCAAAGGATGTTTGGGTTTTTTTTTTTTTTGTTGTTTTTAGACAGTGTCTCACTATGAAGACCAAGCTGTCCTTGAACTCAGAGGTCTACCTGCCTGTTTACTGAGTATGTTAGAATTAAAGGCATGTACTACAATGCCTGGCCTAGGTATTATAATTTTAATGTTTTTCAGTATAAAATAAATATATCCCAGCTGTTGTTGTCCATTGAAAAATGTAAAAACTTCTGAAATATAAAATAGTTTGAGAGTATTTTAATGCAGAAAACATGACAGAAGTATGAAAAAAGTAAAAAAGTATTTGGTATTTTATAACATTACTGTGACTGTTAAGTGTCCTCAAGTTCATTTTTGCCAATGTCTTACTTTTTTCTTTGTATATTTGTAGCTACAGCACCACAAGTCATTGTTCCTGACTCTAAATTAATACAGCATATGAATGCATCAAGTATTACGGTAAGACTGGAACATGGATGGCACTTACATTGGTTTTGGTTATTTAACTCAACATTGAAATTATTCCTATGTGTGTTGTATTTAACAGTTTGAGGATTATGGGAGATTTGCGAGAAATAGCTGTTAGCCACAAATCTGAAGGGTAGCTTAATCTTAAACATTAAAGTTCATAAAATTATGTAATTTCCTCCTTTAAAAAAATACCAAATACTCTTTGTGGTCATTGCTTTATAGCTATAGGGATCAGCCAAGCATATGCTGGCACATGGGAGTTCTGTTTTAGAAAGTTAGAGGGTGGGAATGCTAACAGTTCAGGAAAGGTACTTTTTAAATTTGATTTTATTAGTTATTTGAACATTTTCTATGTGTTTTATTCATACTCACCCCCTACTCCAGCTCTTCCTAGATCCACTCCTTGGTGTTTTCCTACCCAACCGTTTGCTTTTCCTGTCGTTTTGTTTCTCTGCACCATCCTATGTATTGCTAATTCATACCTAGGCAGCATTATACATTGCTGCCAATAATAGCAATTCCTTTTTATTTTTACACACACACACACACACACACACACACACACTTTTTAATTCTGTTTGTATGACTGCTTGCCAAATATGTATTTGTGTATCACATGCATGCCTGGTAGCCTATGGAGCCCAAAAGAGGGTGTCAGATCTCCTGAAACTGGGGTTACAGATTGTTGTGATCTACCATATAGGTACTCAGAATTGAATCTGGGTCCTCTGCAAGGGCAATGAGTGCTCTTAACCAGTGAGCCATCTCTCTTGCTCCTTAATTGCACAAAGTCTTGTTGGCACTAGTTTCTCCACAGCATTTTCATACTTAATTGGCTAAACTTAATCCAGGTGTGGGTTTTCTATTATAGGTTAAACAAAAATGTATAACATAGTGTCTTAAGGAGTATGTAAACACATGGGAATAAAACTACCTAAATGTAGTTACAGTAAGATGCATAAAAATACTATTTATAAGTACAAAACGAAGCTAACGGAGTGTTGGTAACCTTTGAGGGCAAGCAAGAGAAGAAATGACGTCTTTGGAAGAAATAAATGGAGTGATTTTGCCTGTTGCAGTCAAACTCAAGTCTCTGTGGGGCCATTATATGGTACTTTTGTAATTCCATCCCTCGGAGGCAGAGTTAGGAGGATCACCAGTTTGAGACCAGCCAGGACTATGTAGTGAGACTCGGTCTTAAGAAAACAAGACTGAGAATCTGCAGAGAATACTCATTGATTAAGAGCACTGGCTGCTCTTCCAGAAGACATGGTTCAGTTCTCAGCACCCTCATGGCACCTTACAACTGTCTATAACTCTGATTCCAGGGGACCCAACACCCTCACACAGACATACATACAGGCAAAACAGCAATGCACATAAAATAAACTTTAAAGAAAGACCCTGTCTCAAAAAACAAAGCAAAACAAAATAAGACTAAGCATGTGGTATGCACTTGTGATCCCAGTACTTGGGAAGAAAAGGCAGGAGACTCACTTCATGCTAAAGACCAGTCTGTCTGGGCAGTGAGTTACAGGCTAGAGAGGATTACATACATAGAAGATTACATTCAGAAAAAGAAAAGGGAAAAAGCCCACAGGCTACTAAAATGCGATTTAAATCCAGGCTAGTTATAAATGTATGCGTTTGGGTTCACATATACAAGATAAATAGATAAAGTGTTTGTGTGTGTGCATGCATGGGAGTGTGTGTGTGTATACACATATTTCTAAATTGGGCAAAAATATCTGATGTTTGAGATAGTTCTGAAGCATTGGGATAAGAAACACTCACTTTATTACATATTTTACCTAGACTGTTGTGTCGGTGTATTTATGTTCCTTTTAGGTAATGTGGCATCTTAGAAAAATTGCCAGTTATAGACACCAAGGAATTCTTCGATTGTCTTGTAGGGAGACCTGTTGATTCTGGTAGAAATGTAGAAAATGAAGAAATAAGGATGGTTTGACTTTGGCCTTTAGTATATTATTACTTGAGGCAGGAAATTGGGTGTAAGGAACCAAAAAGTAGAAGGATGGTAGTCATGGAATGGTGGTCTCATGGTACAACATGGCTGCAAGTGCATGTATTTCTAAAAACATACAGGTTAGACTGAGTCTGTGAGAATCAGGAGGTTGCGTACAGTAAGTTTTTTTTAGGGGAACCAAACAATTAGACTTATAATTTCTTGAAATGCTTGAGTAGGTTATTTAGGCTATATTGTCTTTATTGTGCCACATGAGCGTCATCCTGTTGTTAGAGTGCCTTTCAGTGAGTTCTTCATACTCTGTAAAGTACACTACAGATAAACTAGGGTCTGGTTAGGTGCACATGCAGGTGCGACTTCTCCCTTTGTTTTTACTCTTCCAGAGTGCTGCTGCTACGGCTGCTACCTTGGCACTCCCTGCAGGCGTGACTCCTGTTCAACAGATACTAACAAATTCAGGTAATGAGAACAAGGAAAGCAGTTTAAATATTGTTCAGAAATCAACAACAAGTGGCTTTTAATGTCTTATTGTCATTGGAGGGTGACAATACAGACACTTGTTAAAATAATTTGAGGGCTATAGAATATAGAATTGTAGTCTTTGTTGAGGATACAAGTGAAAAAATGAAAATTGTGCTAGGTGTGGTAGCACACATAATCCCAGCAGTTGGGGGTTGGAAGCAGGGGATCAGAAGTTCAATGTCATCCTTGGTTTCATAGTAAGTTTGAGCCCAGCTGAAACCCTGATTCAAAAAAGCAAAAAAATTAAAATGCAAATTTAAAAAATTTAAATGGATCTTTTGTTCTGTGAATGAGAACCCTGCCCAAGTGAGATTATGGAGAAATGATTATTTACCGAGATTTGTCTTTTTTTTTTTTTTTTTTTTCTTTTAACTAGGCATCAGTTTTGCTAAATCAGATATTTGAATTAATTTGTGGTGACCAAATTAAATTCCACAGGACCTGAAGAAATGATTCATTGTGTACTTTTAGATGATATTATCTCTTGCAGTTATGTCAAATGCAAATTTTCATCTTTTGGAATATTTGTATGGACTGTTACCATCTTTATATTACTTATTGATTGATTGATTATGATTTCCAAATTTGTGCAGAATCAATTAGGGCTTTGTTTATTTTGTTGTTTGTTTTTGTTTTTGTTTTTTTTTTTTGAGACAGGGCTTCTCTGCAGTTTTGGAGCCTATCAAGGAATTTGCTCTGTAGACCAGAGCTGGCCTGGAACTCATGGACACCCGCCTGTCTCTGCCTCCCAAATGCACCACCACTGCCTAGAGCTTTGTGTTGAATGCTTTTGTTCACTCTTGAAAGAGTATATGAGGCTGATCTGTGTATTATATATTAATCATAATTACAGCAGTTCTAATTGTCTTAGCCAATTTTCATTGCTTGTTGAAAATTTGAAGCAAAGCCTCAATGGTTTTATAAATGAAATGTTACCTTTGTGTTTTTAAAGTTTAAAAGCAGCCACTGAAATGTATAATACTGTTTACTACACTTTCTTGACTGCTACCATGTGAGCAAAAAGGCTATCTTTAAGTCTTTTTTTCATTTTTTAATTTTATATGTATGGATATTTTATTTTACCTGCTTGTTTGTGTATTACGTGCTTGTAGTTCCTTGGGAGTCCAGAAGAGGCCATCAGTTCCTCTAGAATTGGAGTTAGGACTGGCCGTGAGCTACCATGTGGGTGCTGGGAATGGAACCTCAGTTCTCTGGAAGAGCGTCTAGTGATTGTAACTGCTGAGTTATCTCAGCCTCTTAATCAAGTCTTACAACCTGTTGTTGGTAAAAAGCTAAAGAAGGGGGCTCAGCAGTTCGGAGCATTGCCTATTCTTCCAGAGGACCTGGGTTCAATTCTCATCACCCACATGGCAGCTCACAACTTTCTGTAAGTCCAGTTGCAGGGCATTTAACACCTTCACACAGACATACCTGCAGGTAAAACACCAATGCATGTTAAAAAAAAAGAAAAAAAAAAAAAAAAAAAAAAAAAAAAAAGAAAAGCTAATGAAGATAATATGGGAAACATCTGGACATAGAGGGAAGTTGGGAACAATAATGATTGTAGTTTATCATGTATAGTTGATAGCCCTTAGTAAATGGTTAGTCTTCTAACTTGGTAACTTTTGGTTCTTTGACTTGAAAGCAATATAAATTCATTTCTCTGTGTATTAATTGCTGCCGAAATAGCAATTTGGACGATCTATATTCTTATTTTGCCTTAGGTCAGCTTCTTCAGGTGGTCCGAGCAGCCAATGGTGCCCAGTATATCTTTCAGCCTCAGCAGTCAGTTGTTCTACAACAACAAGTTATACCACAGATGCAGCCTGGTGGAGTACAGGCTCCTGTTATTCAGCAGGTAAAGCTGCCAATACTGCTGCTGCTATAGTTGTATGAATTTATCATGTGGTTCCCCGGCTCCCCCCCCCCCACGTTTACATGTACAGTGGTCTAAACAATCTTACTCTGAACTGTATATTATTATTCTTACCATCATCATTATCATCATTATTAGGCCTTCAGGCCTAATTTACATTTCTCATGTTTAAAGCTGAATTATTATTTGGTTCTGGTTTCCTGATTCCTCTTACTAGTTCCTAATTGGTGGTTTTGTTTGCTCTAGGTCCTAGCCCCACTCCCTGGAGGGATTTCACCACAGACAGGTGTCATCATCCAGCCACAGCAAATCTTATTTACAGGAAATAAGACTCAGGTCATCCCTACTACAGTGGCAGCAGCCACACCAGCACAAGCACAGATACCTGCAGCTGGTCAGCAGCAGCCACAGGCCCAGCCTGCTCAACCGCAAGCTCCATTGGTGCTGCAGGTTGATGGGACGGGGGATACATCATCTGAGGAAGATGAAGATGAGGAGGAAGACTATGATGATGACGAGGAGGAAGATAAAGAGAAAGATGGAGCTGAAGATGGGCAGGTGGAAGAAGTAAGTTTCTAGTAAAGAGAGAGGAGACTTGAAAAGAGAAGCCACTCGTCATTTATTTAGTGCTAAACAGACAAATTATATGCTCTTTCTTCAGAGTCAAAGAGGTGGATGCTTGGACTCCACTAGCTTTCTTTTCCCCAAACCCAGGGAATGTGTCACCCACTTTGAATGTGGTTCTTCTATTTCAGTTAGCCACATCATCGCAGACCATCATAGGCTCCCAGTTATCTGATCTTCATACCTTTTCTTGACGCCTGTCAATCAACATGGTGCTACCAATTTTCAGGATAGTTACTATGTCCCACTGAAATTTTCATGATTATTTTTTTTGGCATAAGATGAAATCATCTTTCTTTTTAGAAATCATCTTTCTTTTTAAATCTTAATGCAAAATTCTGTTTCATTTTACTGATTTGCATTCATTTATTATTTTGGTCTTTTTTTTTTTTTTGGAGACAGTTTCACACTGTAGCCTAGGTTATAGGCCTGGAACTCATTATATAGCCCAGATTGGCCTTGGGCTTGTGGCAAGCCTCCTGGTTCAGCTTCCCAAGTATAATCCTCCCAAGGATTATAGGTGTGAGTCATTGTTTGGGCCTAAGTCTTTTTTTCCCCCCTAAATAATTTAGTTAAAGATAGTTTATTAACTATCTGAATAATCAAAGTGACTAAAATATTTTAAACCATGATTATCCTGGCATGCGCCACTGAGGTGAAATTGGTGTCTGTTACTTAAAATGTTTGGTGTTTCTTCCCCTGTTACATCCTCTTCCATCAGTTTCCAAAGCATCTGTGCCAGACTTTATCATTCATTAACTTGTCTTTGTATTTCAATATATGTTTATATTTTCAAAGGTGTAGTACTGCTTGAGTAGTGTAAGTGCAGTATTCTTAATGTTTCTGTTAACTTTTCTTAAAATGATAGTTCTGAGGTTCAGCCAGGTTGTTGCATATAACTGTCATTATTTTTACTGTTGACTGTACCATTATTTGATTATCCTTTTTTTGGGTCCATTAAACATTTGGGCAACTTCTAGTTGCCCTTAATGTGTTCTGGGAACTCATATGTATTTATTTCTCTTCAGTATTATACACAAGCATGGATTTGCCTGTTTACTGTACAGAGTCTATTCTGCCATTTTTGTCTATGATTTGTAGATGTCAACATGTCATCACTTCTTAATATTGACAGACTGTTGAATTGCTGTAGTCCAATAGAAAATTGTTTCTTGGTTTGGTTTTAGGTAGAACTTCCTTGAATGCTTAGGAGCTTCAGCCTCTTTTCATATATCTACTTGTCATTTGTATTTTTTTTTTTTTTTTTTTGTATTTTTATTATGTGGAAGTACTTATTTAACATTATCCTTAGCATTTTCCCACACTTTTGATCTTTTCCTAAGAGACATTTATATTGCATTTTCTCCTGTTTGCTGGTGTTATAGATATGTATAGTATAAACTTTTAGTATTCACCATTGAGTTAGCCTGATGCCTTTTATAATGCCTTTGTTGATTCTTTTGTTTTCTATGTAGATGGATCTTTTAATAGTCTGTTATAAGTGTATTTATTACTGTTTTTTGTGGTTGTCTTTTAGGGCTGAAAGAGTTTATTTTCTTTGTAATTAATCAAGTTTTGCTGCTTTTTTTTTTAAACTATAAGGAAATGCATTTTATTATTAAATGCTTTTCTGCAACTATTAGATAGTCACAGAATCTGATTCAGACTGTCCTTTATGAATTTCATTGATTGGCCTTAATGTGCAAACCAATCTTGAGTTCCCGATAGGACCCAGCTTAGTCACTGTACATTGTACTCTCTGTAACTGCCAGATTCAGGTTGACACAAGTTAGCATCAGTGTGCGTGAGTCACCTCTTTTTCAGTAATCTTCTTAGCACTCTCATGTTAATAGCACCCTTATGAACTAATTTGGACTTTGTTGTTCTAAAAATTAAACTAATGTCTTCTGTATTTGTTATTTTTAATTTTTAAATGTATTCTTTTTGAGACAGTCTCATGTAGCCCTGGCCAGCTTGGAGCTCTGTGCCTCCTAAGTGTTGGGATTAAAGTTGTGCATCACTGTCCACGCCTGGCTAAATTTGGGGGGGGGTTATATTATTGTTTTTTAAAGGCAGGGTCTGTATGTAGACCAGGCTGAGCTATATGTAGCTCACCAAGATCATCTGCCTGCCTCTGCTTCCCGAGTGCTGGGATTAAAGTCATGGGTCATTGTTTGCAACATCTGTGGGTATTGTTAAAGCTTGTTACTTTATTCTGCCATTGAACTATCTATGCACAGTTCATGAGAACACCTCCTAAAGAAAGGTCTCATTCTTAAAAAATGTAAGCAGTTCAGTTCTGCCAATAACATGAATGAGCCTAGAAAAGGACCCAGAGATGAACTGTGTCTTGGGATATTATGAATTTTAACCTCTGTGAGACTGAACAGGGAAACTTGCTATGTTGTGCTATGCCTGCCTGCACCTTTGACCATGGGAAACTGTAATAACAGATGTGGTTTTCCTCAGCTTTTTTAGTCAGTAGGGAATTGCAAATCTAAATCACAGTTAGAGGGTTTGTCACAGCTACTAGGAACACTACAGTTTAAAAAAAAGGGGGGGAAACTACAGTAAAAAACCCAAAAACCTCTGGGGTTGTTTTGTCTGTATGTATTTCTGTATGCCACATGCATGCAGTGCCTACAGGGGCCAAAAGAGAGGGTGCTATACTGTTGGAACTGAAATTACAGGTGGTTATGAGCTGCCTGGAATTGAACCCAGGTCCTCTGGAAAAACAGAGCCATCTCTCTAGTCCAGGATGGTAGAATGTAAAGTATATATACATTGGTGAGGATTTGGAACAGTCAGAAGCCTTGTGTGTTTCTGGTGTGAGTATGAAGTGAACAGCTTTTATGGAAAATAGTGTGGTGGTACTGGGAGTTTTTCAGAGTTAAGTAGCATTAACCCTGTGCTGCCAAGCTTCACTTACAAGTGCATGTTAGGGAAGAATTGTTCAGACAAAAAAACGTGTGCATGAGTGCTCATGGCAGCACTCTTCACTATCCAAAGAGTGTAAGCATCCTGGCTGTCTGTTAGTATCTTGTGAATGGCAAATAAAAGGAATCATATCCTTACAGCACAATACTAGTAAAAGAATCTTGAAGTACTGGTGCATGCTACTACATGAGTATACATTGAAAACCTGAAAGCAGCACAAAGCCCACAAATTGTACTGCTCTGTTTAGATATTCAGGATAGGCAAAGCATATTGGTGGTTGCCAGGGGACAGAAGGGACTATATAGAGTGATTGCCATGGATAAGATTCGTGAAGTGCTCTGGAGCTACATAGCAGAGATGATTCCATTAGGAATGTCCATAGTACAGCTGAAATGTACGGTCTAAGAGGGCTAAAGTTTTTAATCACCGTTTCCCATTTAATATAAGTATTTTTATTTAAAGAGTATGGATATACCCGTCCACACCTATGTTTGAATGACATACACCTAATACACCCAAGCTTTTAATCATCCTTGATTATTTTCCTTTCTACCTCTGTTTTGCCATATCTTTTTCTTCCTTTATTAGACATCTGATTTAAAGTCTTATATCACAAATAAATTTCAACCTTATTTTATCTCCTCCTTTGGTTTTATTTTTTGTCCCTGAGATAGTTCATCCTCTGCACTTAAGTAATTTAAATCATAATTATTCATTGTATCTTTACCATAATGCCATTGTAGTTGACAAACAGTACTGATTGGCATTCAGAATATTGGTCTTTAGTGCAGCCCTCAGGCCACACTGCAAACCAATTGTATTCTTTGCTCTTTTTCTCCAATGTCACTATTGGTTTGATTTGCTTTCTTTTACTGTTGGTGGTGACTAATACCATGACCTCACAACACAGCTTTCATATTTTCTCAATATCATTTTCTGGGTATTTGAAACATTTATTGGGGAGACTTTATCTTGTGCAATTATTAAAGCCTAAAGAAAAATTGAAAAAGTACTTTATATGTAAGGCTATTTTGCCTGCATTTGTGTCTGTTGATCAGGTGAGGGCTTAATAACCAGGGAGTCCAGAAAAGGGCATCTGGTCTCCTGGATTAGATCTAGAAATGGTTGTGAACTGCCGTGTAGGTGCTGGGAATTGAACGTAGGTCTTGTACATGAGCAGACAATGCTCTTAACAAATAAATCATCTTTCTAGCCCCAAAGGAAATACATTTTAACCCCCTTTGATTCTTAGGAGTTCACCAGCTTAACTTCTATTGAGTTTCATGCTGAAATAACATTGGCAAACCTTTGCTGTTGACAGCTTTACCTTCACAGTGTGTGCAACACACCTGATACGTAGTTCTCAGAAAGCATCATGGTACCTGGACTTCTTTCCGCTAAATGGTACAGGAAACTACAGCAACACAGGGGATCTATGTATAAATTCTCCTTTTATTTGCAGGAGCCCCTGAACAGTGAAGATGACGTGAGTGACGAGGAGGGGCAGGAACTCTTTGACACGGAAAATGTTGTTGTATGCCAATATGATAAGGTAAGAACTTTTTTTGGTTTTTCAAGACAGGGTTCCTCGGTGTAAATTTGGAGCCTGAAGGACTTCATTTTCAGTTAAATGGACTTTTTTGTTGTTGTTGTTGTTGTAGTTTCTCTTCTAAGCCATGGTTTTAGCTTTACTGAAAGATTTAGGGAGATGATGACTGTCGATATTTAATTTTAGGTCTTACTTCTGAGACCAGGTTGTATTTAACAATCTAGGATGGCCTTGAACTCTGGGTGTAGGTAGCTAGCTCAGGGTGCCTTCATATTAAGCTGTACTCCTGCCTCAGCCTAGGGTTATAGGCGCACTCTACCTTGTCTGACTTTCCTTCTTAACTTTTTATAGACAGTGTGAAAGAAAGCATTGTGATTGTTTCACAGATTGTCTAAGTAGACTCTGATTCCTTAGCTTACCTTTGAAAAGTAAGTAATGAGTAAAACGGTAAGAGATGATCATTTTTCTTCCTTTTTAAAAAATTACTTTTAGTTCAAAGCATTGTTTTTTTTTTGTTTGTTTTTTTTTTTTTTTTTTTTTTTTTTTTTTGCCAACTTGTATGTCTGTGTGAGGATGTCAGATCCCCTGGAACTGGTTACAGACAGGTGTGAGCTGGCATTGTGGGTGCTGGGAATTGAACTGGGGTTCTCTGGAAGAGAAACCAGTGCTCTTAACTGCTGAGCCAGCCATCTCTCCAGCCCCAAGATGATCATGTTTCTCTTCATTCTACATCAGCTTGTAAACAGCCGCTTTTCCTTTCAGTGACACAAAGTCGTTAAGAGAATTTTATCTTCATAAACTTCAGCTTTCTTGAGTCTGAAAAGATATAACTGAATTATCTTTTATTACTAAGAGGTCCAGGAAAATAATCAGTAACAAAACTAATAGACAGATGAGCTTCAAGAGATTACTTAAATATCTGTTTCCTAACAATTTTAGGCAACTCCTGGGAAAGGGTCCTTTGCCCTCCAAAAGGGTTGTAACCCCTCACCCCCCACGTTGAGAACTGTTTTTTTTTTTTTTTTTTTTTTTTTTTTTTTTTTTGTTGTTGGGATTTTTATAATTAAATCATGAAGTGATAAGATCTTTTGTCAGTCATAAATTATTGGCTTTCATACTGTTTCTTTCTTTAAATGCTTATTGAGTAGGAGGGAGAACTACGCATGTATTATTTGTATCCTGCAAGAAATTTCCTTGTAGTTTAAAGAAATCTTAAATTTTTGTTGTTACAATGAATTTGATAAGTAGTGCTTACATCAAGTAGATCTACAAAGGAGATTTAGTAAAAGGTAAACCAGGTTAGTTGCATATCAGTAACCTAAAGCCAGATACATTATTGATAATTTAATGACACCTGCTTTTGTGCATTTTGACTTAACCCTTCACTGCACATAGTACAGCAAATGGGATTTTTTTTTTTTTTTTTTTTTTTTTTTGTTACCCACAGAAAGAGTAAGATTAAAACAGCAGGAAGGCCTAAAGGACCTGCTTGCAGCCAAATACCCAGTACATAGTTTCATGATAGCAAGCAAAGAATATTACTTGCTGGTGGTGGTGGTGCACGCCTTTAGTCCAGCACTCGGGAGGCAGAGGCAGGTGGATCTCTGAGTTTGAGGCTAGCTTATCTACAAAGCAAGTTCCAGCACAACCAGGGCTGTTACACAGAGAAAACCTGTCTAGGTCCAGGGAGAATTTTTTTTTTTTTGTAATATTTTCCTGTTGTAAGAGAATATTCATTCACCTTGGTAAGCTATATACAGTGTTCTAAATGTTAGTAAAGTTGGTTTGTTTGGCTTTCAGGTACATTTATGTTTTAAGCTAACAGACTTGGTTTATGCAGCCTAGTGAAAAACAATTTCAGAGTTTTCAGAGCTGTCTTTCAAGAATTAGAAAGACTGAAAGAATAGTCAAGTGCTATAGTATAAATGCTGAGGCAGTCTGGTTAGTAAAATAAGGATAAATGTGATTTGAGCCAACTTGAATTTTAGGACTTTTGTTTTGAAGCCTAAGCTTTAATTTCAATAGTGAGTTGATTTTAAGAAAAGCATAGAAGGAATAATGATGTTTATATTGCCACTCAAGCCTTCTTTTGGTTTTTTGAGACAGGGTTTCTCTGTATTGCTTTGGAGTCTGTCCTGGAGCTAGCTCTGTAGACTAGACTGGCCTTGAACTCACAGAGATCAGACTGCCTCTGCCTCCCAAGTGCTGGGATTAAAGGCGTGTGGCCTGAGAGATGTTTTTAAAGTTGTATTTTATACTTTTGTGTAAATAAAAATATTTTTCATTTACTACTCAACGTGACTTCAGTTTTGAATTTCTGGACTTCTTTCTGAATGTGAGAGTCTCTTCATTCTAAGATTATTGTTCTCTGTTTTATTTTAATAAGTTGGAATGTAGAGCAGGAACATGAGTGATTTCCAGATGAACAAAACACTTTATTATTATTATCTTTTTTTTTTTTTTAAATAACATATCAAAAGGTAGCATTAGGATCAGTAAGTGAAAGTTAAGAGGAAACATTTAAGAGGACAGGGTAAAGTCTAGACAAACTTCTATACAAACTTCTAATTATAATCAGATAAACATTGAACAGCCATTTGTCTTAATATGCCAGAGGGTGTCCATCTGTGCTAAGACTAGGATTTTAAGATTGAGAGCCCAGAAATGTGTATCTCCTAAATAGATCTGCATTGTTTGAAAGGTCCACGCTATGTTTTGAGAACATAAGTTTATTTTACTGAAAGAAATAAGGTTCTATTTGTATTGCTTGCAGATAACTTGTAACAATCTTAGTGAGCACAAAGTGCCGAGAGCTATTAATGAGTTAAAGAAAAAATTAAAATTCATAGTTTTGTTTCTTTCTTCTTTTTTGCTAAACATTAAGATAACAGTTTTCAAATGTAATAATTATGCAAGACAAGCTTTTGGTTTTATTATGGATGGGGTTTTATTGTGTTTTCCTCATGCCTTTTGTATTCTCAATTTTTGTTTAGATACACAGAAGTAAAAATAAATGGAAATTTCACCTCAAGGATGGCATTATGAATCTTAACGGAAGAGATTATATATTTTCCAAAGCAATTGGAGATGCAGAGTGGTGAAGAATTGCTTCTCTCCTTTTATAAGTAAGACAAAAGGAACTTACAAAGTTAAAATGGACGGTTTGAAACTTGGGACATATATCAACCAAAACGTCACTTCTGCATGTCAGAAAAGCAAAGCGCAGTAGAAGCAAAGCTACTGGAACAAAACAAAGCTAGACCTTGACAGCATAGACACTACTTCTAACTGGCAAGCCATGGAACTGTAGCACCTGGGGTTGTTGGGTGGGGGGGGAGGGTTTGTGTAGGATACTGTAACAGTCAATTTTAAATACAGGAACCTGCCATTGGTAATTAGCATGTAAAGTTTGTCTATATTCCTTTCTCCAAGTTGGGCTCAGTCAGAAGATACTTGTTGGAATGACCTGAAGAAATTTCCCTTTTGATAGATTGAACTGAATCTGTTTGTTGTATGTGCTTATATTTGGTACAAATTGCGTGTGAACTTTTTACAGAAGGGCAAGAATTATGGTGTTGAATTTTAATTCACTTGTATAGGAGAATTTAAAACTCATAATAGGTCTTAAACATTTTTACTTGTTACTCTCCCTCAGTAATACATACCTCTTGCTTCCCTGCTGTAGGAAACATCTACTTTAGATTTAAAGAAAGGATCAATGGTCACAGTTTGGAGAGAAGGTTGACCCAGGAATGGATGCTTGTTTTAATTAGGTTTTCATACTTGTTAAATGTAACTTAAAGATTTGGGTCTTACCTGTGTTGAGTAGAATTAAAGTGACAGTTTGATTTCCATATAGAAAAACTGTACTCAGTCCCACACTTAAGAAGAAACCCCAAATCAGCTCCTCAGGAATATGTTTTTATTCACAAAGGTACCACCGAGCTGAAATTGTACAGAGCACTTGATATGTGAAAGTTTTTCTTGTTGGGCTACAGTGTGTGTTTAGCTGTGCATTTAGTCTTCATGTAACACCGAGATGGCATTCTGTACATTGATCTAAGACGCAAAGGCAGGTGGTGAGGACTGGATTTTTATTAAACAATTTAGTAATTATAAAAGTTTCTTGTGTTTACTAGTAAAGAATTTTAGAAATTATTATTTTAATTGAACAATTTTTTAAAAAACTTTGTAATTTGAGGGAAAGTTTGGGGGTGGAGGGGGTAGAGGGAGGTGGGCCACTAAATACAAATTTACCTCTCTTTCATTGGGTAGCCCTTTCAGGCCATTGATCTAGACTTGGGCTCCAGTTTGCACATTGGGAAGAAAGTATAGAGATTTGACTTATTAAATGCTCTAGACATTTATTGTGTGTGATGGGAATGTATAGCTCTGGTTCACTTCTGTCAGGGGCTCTAAACAATGTGGCGCTACAGTGAGCCAGCCTCCTGGGAGCTGCCAGGATGCTTGCTCACCTTCATCTTTGTTCTAGTGATTAACAACATTTGCATTCAAGTTAACTTGCCTATTGGTTTTATTTTGTCTTCCATTTTTGTCTTCCTTTAATTTGACCTTGTGTAGTTCCAGATGTAACAGATAAAATATATTACACAAGAAAAACTGTGAGTTATATAGTGCTTTTTTAGCACATATTTTTAAATTTCTTAATGCAGTTGATTCTCCCTTTTCACTTAGCACCCCACTGAACCAATTGTGGAGTTTGGTATAAGTGGTGGTGTGTTAAACACGATAGTAGTTAGATTTTGCTTGTATGCCATAACTGGTAATACAATTGTTGTTTTATTGATGTAGCCTTTCGGGGGAAGTTTGTTGATTCTCCCTATCTCGAAGCACATGCAGTTTTGTTTATAATACTTGGAGGACGGACGGAGGGAAGGAGATCCCATGAGTTCTGTTGCTCAGTGGTCCCTCTGCCCAGTTGCTAGGTTTGTGTTTACTCAATGAAGCCAGTGACCTGAACCACCTATGGCAGTGTTGCTCCAGTGAAACCCTTGGGCTCAGCAGTAGCTGAAACTTTGATTACTACATGATGCTAATTCAGCACAGGTCCTGGGCCCTCTATGTAGTCAAACATTGAAGGTTAGCATTGTACACAAGGAGGGCTATTTTGAAGCCAGAAGTAACTGTTTGTATTTGTACCTGTGTATTGCCTATTAATGATATCCCCACCCCCCATAAATGCTTTTATCTGTGAAAACTCTGACAGCTGGTTCAAACAACCCTGCACACCAGATTGTGCTCTTATATGCTGTTATATCGTGTTCTTTTTTAAATCAAGTAGCATTTTTTTTTTATTATTATACTAGCTTTTGCTATATAAATGTCACTTGCTTTGAATTCTTAATCATGCTTTGGCCATTACATTTAACAGATGATGTCATTAGGTTCTATTAAAATGTCTTTCCTTTGGAAAGGCAAGGGATTCCCCCTTGCAGAATTTCAAGATGAAAGCAGCATGTTTACCCAAAAGGTGGGAATAGTTCTGACTTGGGAAGACTGAAATAAGCGGTGCTTTCAGGAGGTGACCTGTTTAGGGTTGTACCAATCGTGATGGCACCTTTTATGTAACACCATGCCAGTAGTGCTAAGGTAAATTTACACAGAATGAGTCAAGTGGAAATGTGTGCCTTTCAGTGTATGAACTCTTGCGTGGTGGTCCTTTGTACTCTCAGACCACTGGATGCCCGAGAGCACGTGCAATTTTTTCTTAGAGTAACCCAGCTTTGTCACGTGCAGTTTCTAGAGTCAAACATGGTAGGAGGAGATCTCTGTATTGGGCTTTTATATTTGAGATGTTCACATTTCTGTTAAATGCACAGCCCATTTACACTGTTGCCTTTTAAAAAGTCACGATGGCATCAAGATTCATGCACCATGTGCAATTGACATGTGTTCTTGACAAGCATAATAGATTCTGGCTTTAGAAAACAATGTAAAATATACTAGTTTTGATATAAACTAGTGTGCTGCTGTATTGAAAATCAAGGAGTTTTCTTTTGGTGGCTTGTGTAGACGAATGCAGAATTGTCTCCCTCTGAGAATTTTTTTTAATTATTATTATAGCAATAATGTCATCACATTAGAGGGTAAGTATTCCTTATATAAGAAAATAGACATATTTCCTCTTAGCAACTTTCCCTTTATAAAAACTTTCTGCTTGAGAAAGTTCTTATATTTTTCAGATTACTTCATCTTGAACTTTTGAGCTTTTGTGCAATGTGCTATTTTATTGATCTTTGTACATTTTCATTTCATGATTCCTGCCTACCTGTCTAAATCCCCTATAGCAAATTCTGAGGTTTTTGGTTTAAAAATGTTTGTTTTTGTGTTTTCTCATGTGTTTATTGTAGGTTTGGATTTTGATCTGTTACCCCAATGGAAATTATTCTGGTTTATATTCTTCCTCCTTGAAGCCTGCCCTTTTCTTTTGTCATTTTTGTTGCATGCATGATTTAAGGAAGAGCGCATCAAATTTAATTTTTTTGCTTATTTTGAGGAACAAAAGCTTTCTCCCTTTTGATGGGAGAACAACACAACATTTAATAAATAACTCATTCAGTCAAGCTTCCTTAAATCAGTCCCGAATGCACCGGGTTGGGGAGGGGTTAACCCCTGGCTTTTCGGAGCTACTATTGTCGACTGCTGTTGTACATACTGTTATGTGTAAGGGCGTAAATATATTTATTATGTTTGTAAAATTCATTCTGTTCACTTGCAGATCAAGGTTGCTCTTCTGTGATGTATGAGGTGTTAGGTTTTAAAGACCATCTTGGAATACAATTAAAGAGCTTAGTATTCTGATGTACTAAGACCTATTTTAAGTTTAATATTTTACCTTGCAAAAACTTTAATTAAAGATGTTATTTAAAAAAAGTAATGTTGCTTGCTTTGCTTACTAGTCTATGGCATTGGACAGCTGAATAAAACCATACAGTTTAGACAGGAAAAGCTCAACCAAAATAGGGATGTTGTTAAATTCTGTATCCTTAGTTAAATTCTGTACCTTTAAGGTAGTGAGTTTGGGATACCAGACTGAATCGTTAAACTGTCTTAGAAATCTTAAGCGCTTTTAAAAGTTGTATTTTCCAGGCACAGAGGCATTTAGGATGGGTAAATTCACACCAACTAAATGTAAATTAAGGTTAATATAATTAACATTGTATTGAATGAGTATTTCTACTCAAAAGCTTAGATTACATAGGATGAAGTTATTAAGAACATCATTTCATTTCTTTGTCTGGCTAAACTGTTTTCTCTCAGTTCAGAGTTTGTAAATAATTGCTTATTAGAAGATTTGGATTATTGAGGTTTGTATTACATATTGAATATATTTTGTGTTACTTTAGAAGATATTAAATTACTAGCAGTATTTTGATTTTATAGTTAATTCAAATGAATCATTAAGAGCTTGCCTTTTTGTAATTTTTTATCCTGTTATAAACTACTTTATCTAAGGAAACATGCAGATTTTAACTATTAAATAATCATAATAAAGATATTTTATTTATTGCCAGCATTTCTTGTATTTTGCAATTTAATTCAAGCTCCTACATTATGATCTTAATCTTTGTAACCTGAGTTCTGTCTGTGAAATAACAACGGCAATGTTTTGAGTATGAAATAATTTGGATAATTTAAAATGACTGAAACAAAAAAGGAGTAAGTCGCCAAAGTAGAAAAATGTGGTGTGATTGAGACACCAGAATACTTGTTCACAGAGCAGCCCAGAAGGAGGAGTTGGTGGACCTGTGTTGCTAAGGAGCAGGCCAAAGCAGAGGGTGGGCGTCGGGGTGGAAGGACTTCATGCTCTGAGCTACATGTCTGAAATAGATTCATGTTTTTCAAAACTGAAATTGATGGAACTATACTATGTTTTACTTTGTGTGTATGATTGCTCCCCCCTCCCCCCATGAGCATGTAGTGTCCACAGAGATCAGAAGAAGACGTTGGATCCCCTAGAACTGGGAGCTACCACGTGGGTGCTGGGAATCAAACCCAGGTTGTCTACAAGAGCAGCCAGTGCTTGTAATCGTTGAGCCATTTATTTTAAAAATAAATTTCCCAAGTATGTGTGGGTCATATGCAGTCAGTGTGAAGAGAACACATGGAGATGTCAAGCTCTGATCTATGAGTGTGACGGGTAACTCCTTTTGGCAAAGAGCTCAGTGACATCATCTAGTCCATGCAACTTCCATGCTAATGATAACACAGCTAGTTCTTGTGGGCAACCAAGAGCAATGCTGTAACCTGTGTTTTGGTGGGCTAGGGCCCTCTGACCAAGTCACATAGCCTACATCTGAAACTAGGGTTGTTTATTTATTTATATTTAACTTAAAGAGTTTACTAAAAGGTTCGTTGTGTGTGTGGGGGTGGAGGTGCTTAAGGGGGATAAGAGTAATGGGAAGAGCGTATGATCAAAGTACATTCAGTGTATGTGTGTGAAATTGTGAAAGCATAGTAGAGATGCTGTAGGCAGGGTGCAGTCAGTAAAGATGGGATAGCCCTTTGACTCAGTTTGCAGGAACAGATGTTTTCTATCTTAGCTAGACCTGTTGGGAAGAGGCTGTGGTCTGTAGCCTCTGTGTCTTTCCTGCATTCTTCATTGTCTCCTTGTCTTTCAACAGACAGGGAGTAAGTAGTAAATACATCACCCAGCGTACAGCGTAACTGTTTGCTTTACATGTCTGTCACCAAGAACCTGAACTGCCATGTTGATTTAAGACACTGGGAGCCAGACGGTGGTGGTGCACAACTTTAACCCCAGCACTCGGGAGGCAGAGGCAGGCAGATCTCTGTGAGATGGAGGCCAGCCTGCCCTTCAGAGTGAGTTCTGGGACAGCTAGGACTGTTTCACAGAGAAACCCTGTTATTATGGTGGCAGCCGTAATAACAGAATGATAGACACTCACTGACATGGTTAGAAGACAATGAGACTGTTGCTGTTTCCCTGAAGAGTGGGAAGGGTCAGGATACCCACCCTTGATTGCAGCTACCATGCCCCCTGCCTCAGCTGCACATCATCCTGCCATTAAGGTGGTCTTAGTGTCGGGGTGAGAGGTTATTTAGGGACTGAGACATCAGTGATACAGCTGCCTATGGGCAATTCCATGTCAGTTCATTTATGAGCTCCTGTCTGCCTGATCTCTGTGTGACGTGAGTAGATTTTTTTTTTTTTTTAATCATCTTGGCAGGAGGGAAGATATTCTAAAGAGAGACACTTGTGCCTCTGCTTTTGGCTATCAAACTGTTGAAACAGTGGTCCCCAAAGGAATTAGAATTTCCTTGAATCTCATGCTAAGAAAAGGGGAAGGCTGAATCCTGGTGCCAACGAGTAGGAGAGGGGAGCTTGTCTTCTGGAAAGAGATGACATGCCTGCCACCTTTGAGGAGACACAGCTAAAAGGATGAGTCGGTTGAAGGGTAGAACACACCTTGCTCAAGACTACCTAAGTGCAGACCTCTAGCTCCATCTAACTCTAAACTTCAAGTCAGAACCCCACATGTGGGCTTGGGAGGTGGTCGCTAGACCTGGATTTGTTGTTCTTCCCAATTCGTTCACACTGGAGAAGTCTTCAACTTATCCTGGTCTATTCACTTGGCTTGTTGAGGACAGGTGGCCAAGCCTAGCTAATGGCTGCCAGGGCCCAGACTTCAACCCTAACAGTTCCTAAATCAAGTCATCATCTGGAAGCATGAGGGTAGAGTCACTCGTGCTCATGTGAGAGTCAGCGGAGTGCAGTTAGTGTTTACACCTCACATGATAATGGAATGAACTGAAGGTCTTATTTTATAATTTATATTTTTGGCATGGGGGTGGGTGGGTAGTTATTTTTGTTTGCCCAAAAGTGATTTGTCTACACTCTCATGTTTGAGAGTTTCCTAGTGTAAGTTCTCAGCATTGTGTAGTACGTTTTTTAGATTATTACTGCGATCTGAATCAAAGTCTTGTGTTTATTTCAAATTCCTATATTGAAATCCTGATTCTCAAAGTAATCATAATTGAAGCTGGGCCTCTGAGAAGTGAATTGTCATGAGATCACTCCTTATATGATAGCCCAGAGTTAGCTGACCTCTTGTCTGAGTGCAGCAAAGAATGGTCTCTTGGAGGACGCTAGGGGCACCAGATCTTGACCATGGGCTTCCCAGCCTCTAGAACAGTGAGAAATGAATGCTTGTTGGTAAGTTTTTCAGTTCATAGACTCTTGTGATTAGATAGCCTTAACAAACCAAGATACACACTCCAGTCTTCAAAGTTAAATAGCACCCGCCGCCTGAATTGCTGTGAAGGAAAGCTGTGAAATCCTGCCTCACTTGGCATGTTTAGCAGCAGAGGTATGCTGGGGTGAGGGTGTGGGTGTCCTGGGAACAGGCAAGGAGAGCCAGATAGATTATTGGGAGCACCTATAAACAATTAAAATGCTGATTAAAGCCAGTGTGCTTTTTTTGTTATTATGAAGCTCCAGCAATCATAAATTACACCTATGAAAAACTCTCCTCTTCATAAGAATTAGTTATTTGTTCCAACTGGTTTAGTTGCCACAGTGTAGCAGCTTTAGGGCAAAAGAACTCAGCCTCAACAGGCTAGACTCAGCCACCCGCGCCAGTACACCAGTTAAAGACCAGCAATGATGGGAAGCAGGGCATGGGTGGGTCCGGAAGATGGATGTGGGGATCCAGTGATTGCCAAGCTCTTCATCATGGTACTGACATGAACTTTCTATTTAAGCAAGGCAAGGGGCAACAGTTGGGCACAATTAGGCAATCTGGTCAAGGTGTGGTCTTGGCACTTGTTCTACCAGGTGATTTAAAACTCAGAACTGTCTCTGGTAGGCTGGATCAATCTGGTTCCAATGAGATGGTACCATTGCTCCAGGGTACAGCCTCTTTGCCACAGGTATTGTTTTCAGCCTAGAGGTGGTTAGTCCTGAAGGGTTTCTGTTCCTGGAATCCAAGGTGTCTGCAGTTGTAGGGCAGATTTACCTTTGTGCCAGCAGCTCTGACTGGGGAAGGGATGGGTTAGGTTGATAGTCCTTGGTAGCTACCACTGCAACTCAGTGAGGCAGGAATCTGACGTAAAGAACAACACACAGCTGCAAGCTTTCAGCTTGCCTTTATTTGATTTTTAATTTATTAATCAAACTTTTGAGATGAGGATTCAAGCTGGTCTCAGACTCACCGTGTAGCCAAGGATGATTCTGAACGTCTGATCCTCTTGCCTCTACCTCTATAGTGCTGGAGTTACAGATGTGTATTGCTTCGTGTAGTGCTAGGTCTCAAACCCAGAGCCTGGTGCATGCTGGACAGATGTGCTACCAACTGAGCTTCTCCAGCCTCTCATGCTGCCTTTTAGTTACTTCCTGGTCTCAAGTGGACTTGGTGCTTTTCAGCAATGGCATTTCTAATTCTCTGTTGCAAGAGTGCTGAGGTCTTAAGAATTCATTTTGATGTATTGAGCCCACATAAAACTTATACTAACCATCTTTATAAGTACAACTCAATGATGTTAAATGCATCAATGATGAATTTTAGTCCTATTTATATTGCCTGTGATTTCCATTTATTTATTTATTTATTTATTTATTTATTTTTTACATTCCAGCCTGTGATTTTCTTAAGTTTTATAGAAATGATTAAGGCAATTCCCAAAAGACGAAATCCCAAAAAGAGGGTTAGTGTATGAATCTGCTTGAATGAGGCATCTATGGTAGTGAAGTTGTTAGAAACAGCCTGGCAGATATCAAGAGCTGGGGAGTGAAGAAATGCTTAATGGGTATATAGTTTCAGCTTTGCAAAAATGGAAAATTCTAGAGGTGATTTTGCAACCATATGAATCTACTTAACAATACTGAATAGCACATTTAAAATTAAAACGGTAATTTAAACCATTTTAAAGTTTATTTTTATGTGCATGGGTGTTTTGTCTGCATGAATGTCTGTGTACCATGTGTGTACAGTGCCGGCAAAGGCCAGGAGAGGGTGCTCAGTCCCCTGAACCTGGAGTTACAGAGGGTTATGAGCTATCATGTGGGTGCTGGGAACCAAGGGAACCAAACCCACGTCCTCTGCAAGAGAAGCAAGTGCTCTTATTCACGGTTAACAGACCATTAGCTTCCGATAACCAAAAGCTGAGAATGTCATCAATGGCATCTGAAACCTGTACCCGAGATTTCCTCTCTTTGCTGACACCTGCCATGTCCACCCTGTTTCCACTGATGTATCTGGAAAGTGCTTTGTTTATGGATTTTGTTTGTTCTCTAACTACAAACTTTCATGTTATTTGGGACTTTCGAAATCCATATCCCTGGGTCACAGTCACTGATATTTGGCTCAGGAATAAACTATCATTTCCTTTTAAGTGAGCACTGCATTTAACATTTTCAATGGCTGATATGCTAAGACCCAAGATATCATCTTGATTCTCTCATAACACATTGGGGCTGGCTCGGCAGTCACGACTGCTTACTGCTCTTTCAGAGGACCCAGGTTTGGTTCCTAGCACCTGAGTTGGGCAGCTGGC